TTTCTTTCTTTTTCCCCTCTTCTTTCCTCTCCTTGTTGAGCTCCAATCATCCAGTCATCCGGTCCAGGTCACGTGGGTATCATCTGCAGGTGTGGGTGCTCCTGTGCACATGTCCTCTCTTCCCGTCAGCCAGTAGCTCCACTCTCCTCTTAGAGTCCTCCGTGGTCACGAGGCCTGTGATTTTTAAAAAGCATATCCTCAATATCACATTCTTTCACCCAGAATGCTTTGGTGTATATCTCTAACAGATAAGCATGATGCCTTTATAACACTTAGAATCAACAGGAACTCCATCTCACTCAATACCCAGTGCCCCGTTTCTACTTTCTACTAGGGCTTCTTAAAGGCAGTTGTTGTGGCCTCTTCCTTTCCTCTTTCTAAAGGGAATGCAAATAACAAGATAAAATGCAAATAAGGAAGAGGCATCCAGCCCTGGATAATGCCCACATGAAATAAGCAGATCCTGATTAATCAGCAGTTACCTGCTGCTGTTTCTATGATGGTTCATAAACTGTTATGATTCAAGTGAAATTCAGATGCTGTCACCTTGGGTAATCAACTGGGGGAAGTGTCAGTACTATGTCTGACTTCTCTTTCGCTCCCTTTCTAGGATCCCGGTTAGCCATGTGCTAAATGACACCCATATGAAATTCTCTCTTCCATCAAGTCGAAAAGAGATGAAGGATGTGTGTATTCAGTTTGATGGTGGTAACTGTTCTTCTGTAGGGCCGTTATCTTACATTGCTCTGCCTCACTGTTCCCTGATACTTCCTTCTGCCACCTGGACCAGGTACTCTCTGGATTCCTAATTGTTTCTCTCAATGTAGTTAAAAGGATCCTGTGCATAAGGATCATGAATTTTACTCAAATCTGTATAGAAATATATTTGAGGAGACTTCAAAATAGTCACGAAAAAATTCCGTTATCTTTTAATTTTATTTTTTCCATGAATTTTTGGAGGCCTGATGTGGCGCTGTAGGATAAACACTGGACTAAAAGGTCGGTTTGAACTACAAGGTCTGCAGTTCAAACTCACCAGCCACTCCTTGGAAACCCTTCAACGACACTTAACAAAAGTATAAATAGTACCAGTTCCAGTTGCCAGCGAGTCATTTCTGACTTGTGACAAGTTTCTGGGTAATGCAAACAGTTAACACTCTCAGTTGCTAACCAACCACAAGGTTGGAGGTTCAAGTCCACCCAGAAGCCCCTCAGAAGAAAGGCCTGGTGATCTACTTCCAAAAAAATCAATCATTGAAAACCCTACAGAGCACAGTTCTACTTTGACACACGTAGGGTTATCATGGAAGTAGTTGGTTGATGGTTGGTTATGTGCTATGGAGTCAGTTCTGACTCATAGCAACCCTGTACAGCTGTAAATCTTGACGGGAGCAGAAAGCCTCATCTTTTTCTCGTGAAACAGCTGGTAGTTTCAAACTGCTGAACTTGAGGTTCACAGCCCGATTCATAACCACTACGCTACCAGAGCTCTTTATGGAAATCGTAGCCATAAGTAAATTCTCATAAAGTTCCTCTTGGGATTTATCTCTAGAAAAGTCCATACCAACCAACCAAGTGGGTTGTTTCACGTTATCACAGTGAGCACTATGAGTACATCCTGTTTTTCTCTTGCCATGGCTACCAGGAAACTCAGAGCTAAAATGTTTGTTCAATTGCAGTAACTATTCTTAGCCTAGGTTTCTGGTACAAGCATACAACCTTCTTCCTAAATGAAAAGCAGTATCTACATTTAAAGGATGCTTCCTCGGTGAAAGATGGAAATTCCAAAATAAACTCTTTCAAATGAATTCAGTATATCAGGGGGAAAAAAATCTCTCCTTAGTTGAATTTAAATCTGCATTCAGATTTTGGAATAGAACCCTAAAGCTATTTTCTTCACCTAACAGACCATGAAACTCAATTTCAAAGTACTCTCTGGATGAAATTACAGAAAAAGCTTTATTTCAAAAACTCACTTCTAATATTTTTATGAGATGAAGGGATTAGTCATTTGTTGTTGTTGTTAGGTACCATCGAGTCAGTACCGACTCATAGTGATCTTATATGCACAACAGAATGAAACACTGCCTGATCCTAGGCCAACTTCACTATTGGGCCCATTGATGCTGCCACTTTGGCAAGCCATCTCACTGGGGGTCTTCCTCTTTTTCTCTGACCCTCCACCTTATCAAACATGATATCCTTCTCCAGCGACTGGTCCCTCCTGACAATATGTCCAAAGTATGAGAGATGACATTTGGCCATCCTGGCCTCCAAGAAGCACTCTGGCTGCACTTCTTCCAAAATGGATCTATTGGTTCTTTTGGCAGCCCATGGCATTTTCAGTATTCTCCTCCAACACCATAAATCAAAAGCATCAATTCTTCTACGGTCTTCCTTATTCACTGTTCAGCTTTTACATGCATATGAGGTTATTGAAAATACCATGGTTTGGGGTCAGGCGCACCTTAGTCCTCAAGATGACATCTTTGCTCTTCAACACTTTAAAAAGGTCTTGTGCAGCAGATTTGCCTAATGCAATAGTTTGTTTGATTTCTTGACTGTTGCTTAGCCATTAGGGAAATGCAAATCAAAACCATAATGAGATACCACCCTCTGAATACCACAATTCACACATACAGTATCCCCATGATTAGATGGTTATTCAAATAACAATAGAGCTGGGTGACAAGTTGGGCTGTTAATCTCAGGGTCGGTGATTCAAATCCACCAGGTGCTCACAGGAGAAGGATGAGACTTTCTGCTCCCTTAGAGATTTACAGCCTCTGAGACCCTATACAGGGTCTCTATGAGTCGGAACTGGTTCGACAGCATGCAACAACAAAATAATAGTAATGAATGAATGAATGGAAAACAACTGTGTGAAGGAGGATATGCAGAAACTGGAACTTTCGGCATTGCTGATGGGAATGTAAAATATGGCTCAGCCAATGTAGAAAACCGTTTGGCAGTTCATCAATATATTAAACAGTGACCCAGCAATTCCCCTCCTAGGTATACACCCAAAAGAATTGAAAGCAGGGACTCAAACAGTGTTCATAGCAGCATTAGTCACAGTCAACAAAAAGGTGGAAACGTCCCAGTGCTCTGTAACAGATGAATGGATTAGCAGAATGTGGTATATACATACAATGGAATATTATTCAACCATAAAGTGAAATGGAGTTTTGATACAGACTGCCAACCACCACCACCACCACAGAGGAATATCTTAAAAACATTTGCTGAGTGAAATAAGTCACATATAAAAACACACGTATTGTCTGATTCCACTTATATGAAATCTCTAGAATGGACAAATGAATAAAGACCAAAGTTTATTCATGGTTACCAGGGGCTATTGGGAGGAGAGAATGGAGTGAAAAGAAAAGTTTAAGGGAGACATGGAATAAGGAAATTTAAATTTTAAAACCAAGGCTCTAGTATGGCACATTCTTCCTATTTCACCTCATTCCTTCCTGCAAATAAATTCCTTACTATAGATAAAAAGCACTGGACCGCAAGGTTGGTTTGAGCCACAGGTCGGAGGTTCAAATTGGCCAGCGGCTCCTTGGAAACCCTAAACAGGGTCGCTATGGGTCAGAACCGACTCAACAGCACTTCACAGCAACAAAAGCATAGATAAAAGCAGACCTTGACATAGCATTTACCTTTACGTAAGTTAACTTGGTCAGTCTTCAGCAAACCCCTTGTACAGATGTCATTAGCTCCTTTTACAGACAAAGGGGCTGAGGCTGGGAGCAGTGGAAAAGCTTGCCTGAGGCATCCATGCAGTCTGACTCGAAGTTGATGCTTTTGGCCATCACAGTGTCTGCTTCTCCATAAACCATTGGCCTGCTACTGTGACATTCAGACCTGTGTCCCCTGTATTCTCGGGTCAGCTTACTGTGAACATGAATGCATGTCTGCAGCCTGACCATCAGCATAGCTGGCTTGGCTTGGCCATCCAGTACTGCAGATAGCTTGGCACGGGGCCATCCCAGTCCTTTCCCCTGTGACTGGAGGTACATGTTTGCCAGGCTTCAGGACTCTGGGTCTTCCCTCTGCCCTACACAAATGGGCCTGCTCACAGCCACCTCCTGATCTTGTCATCAAGGGCTCGGCCAGCTGACAGAGCTGACATCCTCAGGTTCCTGTCTTCTGGGATGAGTGTCTGGTGATCTACGTGAACGGGGGCGTGAGGGCAGTCAGAGCTGTGGACAGCAGTTCGTTTCAAATCTAATGCTTGCTTTGTTTACACGTGATCGTGCCCCAAGGATACGTGAAATCGTTTGACTTGGTTTTGTGGAGACGGCACATAGCTGTTATTTGTGTGGTTCACCAAATAGGAATTTATACTTTGAATGTCATTTACAATTTTACCTTGTCCAAAGTATTCCCTCTCTCCATAAATAAAATATAATTGGTAGGTTGGAAGTTTGATTTTGAAAATTGTTAGATTGAAGACTCTTCATATAGATTAAACAGCAATCAAACAAAATTCTGTTTAGTGCAACCTTTTCAAGGTACAGCTGATGATCTGATTATATGTGGCAATATGACACAACAAAATTCAATTTCTATAAAAGAATTTGGGCATTTTCCTAGAATTAAAATAGGATCTGACTTGAATTTATATGTATGTTTCTTGAAAGCCACGGAATTTGTAGCCAATATCTTTAAAAGACTTCTAAAATTATCCTACATTTGAAATTAAAATTACTTATTTTGCTTCTCAGATATAACTGAGTCTAACATCAAATATGAATAAATTGATAGCTTTGTTCATATATGCAAAATGCTTATGGGTTTACTATGAAACTCTTTACTGTTGCCTTTTTCCTTGCAGCGGTGGTCAAAATATAACCATAATGGGCCGAAACTTTGATGTCATTGACAATTTAATCATTTCACACGAGTTAAAAGGAAACAGCAATGTAAGTTTTCAGCTACTTTATTATAATAGTTATTCTCAAGGATGAGTTTGGTTTTATCACACTAAAATATAGGGCGGGGATGTCATTTATTTATACACCTTTGATGTAAAGTTTTACCTGTTGTGTACTATGATGGAAACCAGTAGACCTTCTACTTGTAGTTGAGAACTGAAAGTGGTGGCTTAGACGGAAGAGTAATGAACTTGGTAGGAAAATGCCAGCTATTTCCTCCTTGTATGATGTGTGTTAAGTCATTTTAATGAGACAATATTTAACAATATGTTTCGTGAAGCTGCTTTGTGATTGCTGATGGAGAGAGGTAAAGATGTCCCCATTTCACAGAGAGAGAGCTGATGTTCAGAGAGGTGACTTTAAGCCCCAGAAATTACTTCCTATATTTCTTACCATTGTCCCATTAGCCCTATTTGATCCCTTCTGATCGCATGCCTCTGTCCTTTCAGCTCTCCCCTAAGTGGAAATCAGGAGACGGGGCTGGTCCCCACGGCTCACCAAGTCTTTCTCTTTGGAACCTCTAGCTTGGGGCTGCTGTGCCAGGAGCTCAGGGGGAGATGAGGGATTTCAGGTGCAGGTTGGGCTCCCACACATGCTTCTAATCTCTTCCTAAATGCTCATTATCCATCTCCCACTTTCTCCCGCTTCCTGATGAGAGATCCGAGGGCAGCCTTTCTGGGCTCTGACCACTTCCCACCAAGTCTGACAGGCTGGAGAGCAGAATCCTGCTTGAGACCAATCTGGATCCAAGGTCTAGAACCCAGGCCTCACAGCACGCCATCCTTACAGCCTGCCCCCCACATATCTGTGTACTGACAACTTCAGGGTCTGACCACAGCCAGGTCTGCACGACATGATTGCATCCAGTTAAATGATCCGTACAGCTTGACTCTGACCAGAGGTGGTAATGAGTTTGTTGGTGGATTTGTTCTCCCTCTGAAGTACTGTTCCTAAATCAATTCCATTGGGTAGTATTTACTGATCATCTACTATGAGCAAAACATTTTTCTGGGTGCTGACACAAAAAATCAGTAAGAAACTCACTGTCTTCTTGGGGGGGGGGTGGAAATCTGCGCTGAGGGTGCTAATTGAAGGCCCACTATTCCTTCATCATCGGGGTATTGTCATGTTCAGGAACTCGTTTCTCTTCCAGCTCAGAAACCCCATGAGTCCAAGACAGCACTAACGGTCCCCATATGGAAAGAACTTTAAAGTAAACAGAAGTGGTTCAGCAGCAGAATTTTCTCCTCCTTTGCAGGAGACCAAGTTGGATTCCTAGCCAATGTAGCCCATATACAGCCACCACCAGTCTGTCACTGGAGGTTTGTGTGTTGCTGTGATGCTCAACAAGTTTCAACAGAACTTCCAGACTAAGACCAGGAAAAAAGGCCTGGTGGTCTTCCAAAATTAGCCAATGAAAACCCTACAGCTCAGAACAGTCTGGTTCCATTGTGCATGAGATTGTCATGAGTTGGGGGCCAATTTGGTGGCATTTAACAATAACAGAAGGAGTCCTGGTGTGGTGCAGTAGGATAAGCACTGGACTGCTAATTGCAAGGTGAAACCCGCTAGCCACTCCTTAGAAAACCCTTATAAGGTTGCTGAGTTGGAACTGATTTGATGCCACTTAACAACAACAATAACTGCAGAGGTGGCGCAAGATGAAAAGGATTGAGACAGGTGGAAGCAGAGAGACATTTTCAGGTACAAAGGACAGGATACCCACAGGCACTGATGGGAACATTGTCAGTTTCATTCACCTGGAACTTGGAAAATGGATCAGGAATGAACAAGAAGGATAGCTGGACATCTGCATTAGGACCTTGTAAGAGAACATCAAACTGATGGTCTGTAGGCGGTGGGGAGCCACTGAAGACCTTTGAGCAGAGACAACATGAGTTTAGGTGTACTTTATGAGCATGGTTCTGGCAGTAGTGTATAGGATTGTTTGGAAAGGCAGTCATAACCAAATGCTGGGAGATTCATTGGGGTGCTAGTACAGATGTCCAGATGTGTTTCAGATGCCAGCAGGGCGTCAGCTGGGCTGTTCACCAGGCGGTGGTTGGTTGAGGTTGAGGATTAAGGAGCTGGTGAGGCTAGAGGTGATTGGTTATCTTTTAGGTGTCATTACTGAAGGGAGAGTGGGGACCGCATCGTGAGAGACAGAGCACAAAGGAAGAAGAAAAGAGGATGGAATCTTACAGAACTGATTTCTTTAGAGTTGAAAGAAAATAGGATGACCAGTGAAAGTAGCTGAGCAGTTGCTTGGAAACGAGAGAAAAAGATCATTTTAGATGGTAGAAGTTGGTCACTAATGTGAAAATTTGTGAATATGAAGATAATGAGGTTGGGGTGATCCTGTTGCTGGTAATTTTACTAGCAGGCTGCTACTGTGTGTCCTGTTGAGTCAATTCCCACACATAGTGATCCTGGATAAGGTTTCGAAGGCTGTAAATCTTTTCGGGAGCAGAGAGCCTCATTTTTTCCCCATGGAAGCAGCTCGTGGACTTGAACTGCTGACCTTGTGGTTAGCAACCCAACACGTAACCGACTATCCTACCAAGACTCCTCTAGTAGAAAGCAGTTTTAGTAATAAGTCAGCCTGTCAGAGTCTGAGGAACGAGAGGCTGCTGAGAAGGTGGAGGCAGTAGGAATAGTAGTTTTCATCACCTTGACAGAAATGTAAGCTAGAGATTCAGGGAGCCCCTGGGTAGTGCACGCAGTAAGTGCGCTCCACTGTTAAACCAAAGGGTGCAGGTTCCAGTCCACCCAGAGGGGCCTCAAGAGGAAGGCCTGATGATCTAATTACTTCTGAAAAATCAACCATTAACAGAAAATCCTATGGAGTTCACCTCTATACTGACACACAGGGGCTTGCTATGATATTAGGTCAACTCAATAGCAACTGCTGGCGGCCAGGTTTTGCTTGTCCCAGCCTTAGTCCTTACACTGAATTTCCACCTATTCCATTTTCCTACCATTCCCCCACCTCCCCACCCCCACCCAATGTGGTAGTTATGTGCCATGGAGTCCATTCCGACTCATAGAGACCCTGTACAGGATTTCCGAGGCTGTTAAAAACCTGCGATATGCCGATGATACAACCTTGCTTGCTGAAAGTGAAGAGGACTTGAAACATTTACTGATGAAGATCAAAGAACACAGCCTTCGGTATGGATTGTATCTCAATGTCAAGAAAACGAAAATCCTCACCACTGGACCAATAAACAACATTCTTATCAATGGAGAAAAGATTGAAGTTGTCAAGGACTTCATTCTTTTTGGATCAATTATCAACACTCATAGAAGCAGCAGTCAAGAGATCAAACGACGTATTGCATTGGACAAATCTGCTGCACAGGAACTTTTTAAAGTATTGAAGAGCAGAGATGTCAGCTTGAGGACAAAGGTGTGCCTGACTCAAGCCATGGTATTTTCAATAACCTCATATGGATGCAAAAGCTGGACAGTGAATAAGGAAGATCATAGAAGAATTGATGCCTTTGAGTTGTGGTGTTGGAGGAGAATACTGAAAGTGCCATGGACTGCCAAAAGAACCAATAGATCTGTTTTGGAAGAAGCGCAGCCAGAGTGCTCCTTGGAGGTCACGATGGCTAAGCTTCGTCTCTCATACTTTGGACATATTGTCCGGAGGAAACAGTCGCTGGAGAAGGATGTCATGCTGGTTAAGATGGAGGGTCAGAGAAAAAGAGGAAGACCTCCAACGAGATGGATTGGCCAGGTGGCAGCATTGATGGACTCAAGTGTGGCAGCGGTGGTGGGGTTGGCCCAGGATCGGACATTGTTTCGTTCTGCTGTGCATGGGGTCGCTATGAGTCGGTTCCGACTCAATGGCACCTGACAACAACAACGGATCTTTACAGGAGCAGAAAGCCTCATCTTTCTCCTGTGGAACAGCTGGTAGTTACAAACTGCTGACCTTGAGGTTCGCAGCCCAATTTGTAACCACTATGCTACCAGTGGTTACGAATCGGGCTGCGAACCTTAAGGTCAGCAGTTCGAAACTACCAGCTGTTCCACAGGAGAAAGATGAGGTTTTATGCTCCCGTAATGAGTTACAGCCTCGGAAACCCTGTACAGGGTTGCTATGAGTCGGAACCGACTCCATGGCACATAACAACGCTACCAGAGCTCCACCCAATATTGAGGAGAAAAAAAGAGGAAAAGTTCTCCCAACTGGACCAATTGCTTTTCACCAGTTTTCATTGTTACTGTACTTCTCCTTTAAAGTATTTGTCAGTCTCCCCTCCCCACCAGCTCTCTGTCCAACCACAGGTGGCAATGTGTATGTTGTTTGGTGTGTGTGTGTTTAAAGAACCCTTCAAAGCAGGCCACACTGCATCGTTTCCAGTTTTTATTCTTTGCACTTCAGCCATGGGGGCCATGCTGTCTTTTTCTTTTGTTTTCTCCTAGTCTCTGTTGCCCCTGAAATGCCTTTTCCTCCTTGTGGTTAGTGACTTCTGCTAAAACTCACCAGGAGCTTCCTCTGCAGAGAGATTTAACCAGCAGCAGGCAGGTCAGGAGGTGCCCTTTGCTGAGCAGCATCTCCTCCCTTCTACTAGTTTCCTTGGATTCAGCTTGGTAGCTTGAAGGACACATAGGCCCTTTTGCCTCAAGCCTTCCCCTTTCTCTCTCCTCCTTCCTGAATTGCCTGTTTTCCCGTTGCACAATCTTCTGACTACTTCGATGATCACTAATCACATTGATGCTACTAATATTAATAACATAATAATGTTAACTAGCTTTTTGAGTATTTCTTGTTGCCAGACACTAGTATCTAAGCAGTCACTGTTGTGTGTGTAATCTCGTTTAATTTAACCCTCAGGACCCTGTGAGGTAGGGCATATTAATATTCTCATTTTATAGATGAGAAAACCCAATGTAGAAAACAGGAAGTTGGATTCAATTTTTTAACACCAGAGCTGGGGTTCTTTCATGAAGTTAATAAAATGCCCTCTCTCTCTTCCTCCCTAGGTGTCTGAATATTGTATGGTGACTCACTGCAGGTTTTTAGCTCCTGGCTTAAAGAGCCCAAAAGTGCCTACAAATTTCACTGTGAAGTTAAGAGTACAGGATACCTATCTGGACTGTGGGACCTTGCAGTATTTTGAAGACCCCAGGTTTACTGGGTATCGGGTAGAGTCTGAGGTGGACACAGAACTGGAAGTCAAAATTCTAGTACGTTTCCTTTTCTCAGGTGGGATGTGCCTCAACGGAAAAGGTGTGGTATGCTTGTGAGTTTCCACGTGTGCCCTGATTTCTTCGTCTTCCTTCTGTTCTTCACAGAAAGAAAATGATAACTTCAACATTTCCAAAAGAGACATTGAAATCACTCTCTTCCATGGGGAAAATGAGCAACTAAATTGCAGCTTTGAAAATATTACTAGAAATCAAGATCTCACCACCATCCTTTGCAAAATTAAAGGCATTACTGCTGCAAACAGCATTGCCATCTCTTCCAAGAAAGTCCGTGTAAGTCACCCCTTAGTCCCACCTGCTATTTTTACCAGGTTGTCTGTAATTCTGTCACTAAACAAGAAGGCAGAACAGAATCTTTCATGAACCTTTAAGATTTTCCTTTTAAATAAGAAGATAAACAAAACTGGTTTGCAAGCCCAAGCATAATGCCTTCAAAATTGCTAGCAGAATCCATCCATGTGCCTGTTAGAATGTCAAAGCATTGAACACACCATTGTCTATAATACTAATGAGTCTTGATAGCTTTTGTTCCACCCTTACATTGAGGCTGTAGCATCTGCAAGCAGAATCTCTGTACCCATTGAAGAATAAGCTGTCATTCTTTTCTCAAATGCAAAGGTGACACTTCTTAGCAGAGTCCCAAGATCGGGGCCTGTTTGGCACACTCACAGTAGCATTAGATGCCGATGAAGACCAAATGAACTATGGGTCTTGGGCTGCTTCCTTCCCCATGAAGTCATACTAAGACTCACTACAATTCATCTTTTCCCCGACATGTTTGAGGGACCCATCACAGTTATATTTATGTCCTACAATAAAGATGTGAGACCATAGGGACAGGAAACTTATTAGAAGTCACTATGTATGGAGTTCATGCCATCTGAGGCTCCGCAGAGTCTATACTGAAAAATGCTTTATGATCTGCAATCATAAATAATTGGATACAGGGCAAGAAAAAAGAAACAGGTGTGTTCATGGTCCGGCTGCACCGGTTAATAGCTGTGTGGCCTTAGATAAGTCATTTGTTCTTGCCAAGTCTCCCTTCCCCTATTGTATGATAAAAGGAGTAATAATAATTATAAAATCAATTGTTGTTACTGTTGAGTGCCAGCGAGTCAGTTCCAACTCGTAGCAACTGTATGCACAATAGAACAAAACACTGCCTGGTCTTGTGCCATCCTCACAATTATTTTTCTTAAGCCCATTGCTGCTGGCACCGTGCCAGTCCACCTCATTGGGGTCTTCCTCTTTTTCTGGTGACCCTCCACTTTACCATGCATGATGTCCTTTTCCAGAGACTGTTCCCTTCTGATAACATGTTGGAAGTATGATTGATGAAGTATCACCATCCTGGTCTCTAAAGAGCATCTGACTATACTTCTGCTGGCACAAATTTATATATTCTTCTATCAGTCTATGGAATTTTCAATACTCTCCTCCAACACCATAACTCAAATGCATCCATTCTTCTATGGTCTGTCTTATTCATTGTCCAGCTTTCGCATCCATATGAGGTTATTGAAAATACCATGGCTTGGGTCAGGCGCAACTTAGTCCTCAAACTGATATGTTTGCTCTTGAACCTTTCAAAGAGGTCTTATGCAGCAGATGTGTCGAATGCAAATAAATAAAACTAACAGCAATCATTAAACTACCAAATACTACCCCTTTTTAAATTACTTAAGAAGAGCCTTCTTCATCACTCATAGGATAGTTACTGAGCACTTAACACTGTGATGTTAACAAAACAGCAAGAAAACTGACAAAAATGTCTGCCTCTCCGAAGGTGACATCAAGAGGCATAAATGACAGATAAAGATGCTGTAGTAACCAGTGAGCAAGGGGAGAATATTCTGAGGTTAGAGAGTTAAGAATGCCGTAGTCTGCTTTGATTGGTGTACATCCCACGTATAACAGAACAGAACGTTGCCTGGTCCACACCATCCTCACTATCATTGGTTTGCCACATCGGAGTCCACTGTCGTAGCCACTCTGTATTTGGAGTGTCTTGTTCAGCACAGAATCAGACAGTAGTCGGTGGTGATCCAGAGGATTCTCGTTGGTCAGTGTTCAGAAGTGGATTGCCAAGTCTTTCTAGACTGTCGTTGTCTCCAAGCTCTGCTGAAACATGTCCCTCATGGGTGACTTTGCTGATATTTGAAATACTGATGGCATAGCTTCCGGTACCATAGCAACATGCAAACCACCTCAGTATGACAAACTGATGGTTGGGTGATAGGAAAAGATAAGTTAGTTGGTGATAATTGTTATGGAGGGGGAGATTGTAGGGGAGTGGGTGGGGAATATAGGAGCACTGAGGCGCTGTTGCAGGATTTATAGTGGTAGGCAAAAAAAGCTTTCTCGTGAAGGTGACATTTGAGTAAAGACCTCAGGGAAGATATCTGGGGTAGAGTCAAAGGCTTCAAAGTTTCGGAATCAGCAACACCCCTAGTGGGTTTGAAGAACAAACAAGTGGACAAGGGGAGAGTATTCCGAGGTTAGAGAGTTAAGAATGGGCCAAAGGGAAAAACAGATCCTTGCCACCTGAGGACCACAGCAAGGGCTTGACTCTCCTGAGTGAGCTGGGAGCCATTGGAGGCTTTCAGGAGAGGGTTGCCATGAGCTGGCTGTTACTGTTTTTGTTAGGTGCCATCCCACGGATTTTGAGTCATAGATACCTATGTGACAGAGTAGAACTGCCCGATAGAGTTGTAATCTTTACAGATAGAGCACCCTAGTGGTGCAGTGGTTAAAATACTTGGCTTCTCACCAAATAGTCTTTGGTTTGAACCCACCCACCAATATGTGGCAATCTGCTTCTGTAAAGATTACAACCTTAGAAATCCTATGTTCAACTCTGTCCTGTGAAGGCATTATGAGTCAGAATCAACTTGTCAGCAGAGAGTTTGGGCATTTTGTGGAAGTGGGAATTTGGATTGCAGCAGATCTCCACATCTAAGGGACAGTCATGCCCCTTAGAAATTCTTCTAAGCATTTTATGTTTTTCTTTTCACATTTGGGTCCTAAATCTATTTTTTTTTTTTTTTCTAAATCTATTTTGATCTTGTTTTTTGTATGGTATGAAGCATGGATCCTGTTTCATTTTTCTACAGGGTGAGTTTGAACCCTCAACCTTTGAGTTAGCAGCTAAGTGTTTCACTGCGGCTCCACTAGCGCTCCTAATGAGCTGACTTAGTTAAGTGAAAGACTGCATTTCATCTTCACAGCTGCTCTATGAAGCAGGCACCATCAGGGTCCCATTTCAGAGCTGAGGGGTGAGTCATTGACTCCGATCCTGCGCTGCTAAGGAAAACACACAACAAAGCTGGGAGTGTGACCCTGGGCTGTCTGGGCCCCAATCTGTCTTCCAGGCACTTTGCTCACATATCTCCTCAGGGACAGCCACGGCTGCAAGGATGGATGAGCATCTTAAACTTGTGTGGACTTCAGTGCAAAATAAGGCTTAATAGAGGGTTTGTTTTGCAAGTTTTAGGAAATTTTTATAACCAAAAATGCTAAAACAAGAAAAGGCCCATAGTGATCATCCCCAGAATGCTTTATTTTAAAATAGATTTTCCAAGGAAGTCTGAGGTATAGAAAGAGTAAAAGTGGAGTTGCTGCCATAGATTAACCAGGTGCTGCCAACTCATTATGACGCCATGTGTGTAAGAGTAGACACTGCTCCATGGAGTTTGCACTGACTAACCTTTTTTCCCGAAATAGCTCACCAGGCTTTTCTTCCAAGATGCCTCCAATTAACAGCCTTTTGGTTGGCAGCTGAGAATTTGCACACCAGCAGGTTGTTGTTAAGTGTCGTCCAGTGGGTTCTGACTCATCTTGGCCCCATATAGAGTTACCAGGAAGTGGCTGATGAGTTTAAACCACCAACCTTGCAATTCAGACCGACCTTGCAGTCGCGTGCTTATCCTACAGTGCCACACCAGGACCACCTCTTTCTTGTTCCCATTTCTTCAATTCAAGCTGTATCGGTCGAGTCTGGAGTCCTGGTGAGGATACACACTGAACCAAAATTGGTTTGAACTTAACAACAGCAGGTCAAGGCCAGCCCACCTCAGTTTACACAACAGGAAACTGAGGAGCCCTGAGTATTCTTGATTTGCCCTTCGTTCACACCTAATCTGCCTCAAGGTTAGAACTTGAACTATCCAACTCACAACTGCTTTTTGCATCTTAGGGGAAACCATTTGTAGAAAAAATAATAATCATGTATGTAGATATGGTATTCAATTTGATTGGGTCTGATGTCACTCTCTGTCCCATTAGGTCAAATTGGGAAATTTGGAACTCTTCGTTGAGCAAGAATCAGTTCCTTCCACTTGGTATTTTCTGATTGTGCTTCCCGTTTTGCTAGCGATTGTCATTTTTGGTAAGTGCCCTGTTTAATTTTGTCAGAGAAATTATTCCCTGGGGCTCCTCGGCAGGCAGGCCCACGTTCCACTTTCGGGAGCTGTTTACTTCAATTAAGTATTAATGCATGAAAACCCAGATCAAAACTTTGGGAACGAAATAAAGGGTCTATGTTGGGGGCTTTCTAAACATGTTTTGTGGATGCTTCATTAACAAAAGCCTGGGTGAGAAAGATGGTGTCTTGGTGTTTGAGAAATAGAAACCATTTTTCTTTTGATTTCCTTTGAGTTGAGATGATAAATATCCAGTTAACACTGTTCTCCCAGGATACCTCTGGGACTATGAACTCACAGAACTTGGTTATCTCATCCTGTGTCCTCACCCTGCCAGGACCCCATCCCAACCCTGCTTCTCCTGGCAGAAAGACCCTTTACAACTATGACCTATGCCAGCTACAACACAGCGGTCCCACTGGTCTGTTTTGTTTGGCCCACACAGCATTATTTTATTTTTTAAACAAAAATCATTTAAGTAGTTGATACCATTTAAAAATTGGGTGATGTCACATTTAAAAAATCTCTTGAAAACTGCAAAGATCTGGCAGCGTTGAATCCCAGTTTTCCCCTAGCTCAGTTTGCTGAGCTGATCAATAGCCACCGCTTTGAGATTACTCATGTGCTCACTGGGTTTTCCCCAAGTCTCCACCACTCCACTGGGCCACTTAACTCATCTGTATACCTAGTCCTGGAGCCATCTCATCTTGTCTGTGATTCCTGAGCTCTTTTTGGTTTTAAGTCTACTTTCTCTCATTGTTCTTAGAACAAAGGAAACTCCTTCCCACCAAGTAATATGCGTGTTTTATTCCCTGGTGTACACAGGCACTGCCTTTCTGCATTACAGGCTAACCAAGACAGCTGCTAATGTCTCTTTCCAACAGTTACTTCCTCCCTCATTCTTCCATCCATCCACCTTATGTGGATCGATCACCTGTTTTTCTGCTGGTAACTGTTGTTGTTGTTAAGTGCCATCGAGTCGGTTCCGACCCATAGCGACCCTGTACAGGGTTTCCGAGGGTGTAAATCTTTACGGGAGTAGAAAGCCTCATCTTTCTCCCACAGAGCGGCTGGTAGTTTCGAACCGCTGACCTTACGGTTCGCAGCCCGATTCGTAACCACTACGCTACAAGTCTCTAAAAAAGGTGACTTAAAGCCTGCTCCTTGCTCTTGGGCATCTAGTGAGGGGAGAATTTACGTGTCTGATTAACTGGCCTCATGAAATGAGTTCCTTTTGCAGAGGCCCTATTTTGCCCTCTTGGTTATGATTCCACGTAATTTTTCATGCTCTTTCTAAGGTGTCTACTCCTCTATTTGGAATCTGAAATTGAACTTGATATTTTAGTAAACTTCTGACTCATGCTGACTTTGAGTAAGTAGATTATCTATAAATGCTGGGCTCTATTTTGACAATCCACTGCGGTTAAGTAGCCTCGCCATGGAGGCTGATCTACGTACGGTGTGGCGTACTAGGTGCATCTAACCTTTTCCTGGTCTCAGTGTGACTCTCCACTCGGGTGCCCTCGCTTCGTTTGGAGAGCTTGTTTATGTATGCGCTTTAAGGTGGAGTGGGCTAAAGTCGACACCTCGCCTTTGACTTCCTTCATATCTGCAAAGCCCTTTAAAATTCTCAGCCCCTTCTTAAAGTGATGTCAGGGCTGCACGTGCCAGCCTCAGATTGAGTGAGTGTGTTCTTCAGTCTGTCAATCACATCATTAGTGAAAACACCAAACACCTGGGTGAGCCTGCCACCTGTAGCAGCAAAAACATCCCTATAGCCAGGAAAAGCTCTCTGCTTTGAGAATGGGGCCTGTTAACTCACTCTGCATGCAGAAAAGCCACTGCTGCTCAAAGTGCAGCCTGAGAAACAATTGTCCCAATGGATGCTCCTGGAAAAGGGGGTACTGTGGGCAGTGAAGTGTGGGAATCACTGCATACTCCAGCCTTGCATGGAGATGCATAATGCAAGTTGTGTTTTGGACTGTTAACTTTATGAAGTCCAGTGAGTAAACTTAACCAGTTTCTGTCAAGTCAGTCCTGACTCCTGGTGACGCCACGTGTGTCCGAGCAGAACTGTGCTCCATAGGATTTTCAAAGGCTGATTTTTCAAAAGCAGATCACCAGGTCTTTCTTTCAAGGCACCTCTGGATGAAGTTTTGGTTAGCTGACAAGTATGGTTGGCACATCCAAGGACTTTGCCAGTGAAGAAAAATATGTAATTTTGTTCCCTCTAGCATCATTCATGAAGGTGGTGCAGTGGATAAATGCTTGGCTGTTAATCAGAAGTTTAGCAGTTCAAACCCACCAGCCACTCTGCAGGAGAAAGATACAGCGATCTGTTTCCATAAAGATTAGCCTTGGAAACCCTGTGGGGCAGTCCGACTCTGCCCTATGAGTTTACTGTGAGTCAGAATCGACTCAACAGCAAGTTTTGTATTTTGTTTTGTTTTTGTTGTTATTGTTTGGTTCAGTAGCATTTATGCCTCCTAGCAGCAGAGCCCTTTCATCAGGTAATTTCCAATAAAATTCAGAGAAATTTTTCTGGAATGGTAACAGTTGACAATCATTGAGTATTTATCCTTTTAATACTGACAGTTACTTGTAATCCTCTCACCATCACAATGAGGTAAGCACTCTTAGAGAAAGCAGCCAAGGCACAGAGGTGCTAAGGAACTTACCCAATGTCACATGTGTAACATGGCAGAGCAGGGGTATGGGCATGACCACCCAGCCTCTTCCACGGACGGTTTCTATTGCACTGTTGGAGTTGGAAACAAGATGAAGTAGAGAAAGAGGCAGTAATCTAGTTATGGACCACCCAGCATGCCAATCTATTGTTGTTAAGTGGCATCAAGTTGGCTCCAATCCATAGCGACCCTGTATAGGGTTTCCAGAGAGTGGCTAGTGAGTTTGAACTGCCGACCTTGTGGTTCAAATCGACCTTGCAGTCCAGTGCTTTATCCCACAAACCAGGATTGGATCTATGCAATTTGGCTTCTATAACCAACCATGGAATTATGATTTCAGCACTGGACTAGGAACCACAATGTTGGCAGTTCAAATCCCCCAGCCGCTCCTCAGAAACCCTATCAGGGTCGCTATGAGTCAGAGCTGACTCCGTGGCACTTACAACAACAACAACTTCATTTCTCCAGGGATATTTAGAAACATTAAAAAAAAAAGAATGGAACAATATAGGTGACCTGGGGCTGTAGAGAAGCTTGGCCTGTTTCATTACTTTTCAGACAACTGGGATCATTGGTTACAAGCGAAGGTTATTTGATTTAGCTTTCAGTTTTAATATGAGTGGCTTTTTTTCTGTTGAATTTTAGTATCTTCCTCTTTAGAATGACCCTCACTGGGAATTTTTGTTTTTATAAATTCCACCTCTTAAATGTTATTTAGTGTATGTGCTCGTTTCTTTTTTTTTGCATTGTCATTCTTTAATCTCATATTTTAAATTGTTGCCAGTTCAACACTTTTTAGAGAAACAATTCAGTGAGATCAATCACATCCATCATGTTACACAACCATCATCAATATCCTTTGCCAAAGTTTCTATTCCTACAAACTGAAACTGGATGCCCCTTCCCACCTCCCTCTCACCCCTGGTAACTACTGTTGCATTCTGATCTCAATCTATTTACCTTTCCTCTGTACTTTATATTTGTGAGATCATGCCATAACCCTCCTTCTAGGATGGACGTATTTCATTCAACCTGTTTTCAAGGTTCCTTTGTTTTTAGAAGACTTGGAAAAGTTGCTTTCTGGTTGGTTGGCGTTTTCACTTTTCTTTTTCAAGTTAACATTTCCATCTGATGCCGGGTCTGTGTCTCCTCAGCGGCTGTGGGGGTGACCAGATACAAATCGAAGGAGCTGAGTCGGAAACAAAGTCAACAGCTGGAGCTTCTGGAAAGTGAGCTCCGGAAAGAGATACGTGATGGTAGGCGTCCAAATTTTATTTGTAGAAAAGCAAGTCTTTTTGTTGTTGTTGTTGTTTTACTCTTAAATAGAGATGGCCACAGTAATGAGAAATGTTTATATAATAGAAGACAGCTCAACAGCAGAGTCTGGACATGGCTTTGTGCTTTTTGTCAGCTCTTCTCTGCAGCCAACCAAGTAATTATCTATTGTTTCTTCTTTAATGAAAACCAAGGTCATACTCTGTGTTAGACAAAACAGCAGAAGATCTTATCCGTTGTTTGTTGAGTTAAAATATTGCTCTTGGGATTGTGTTTTTGCAGGCTTTGCGGAGCTGCAGATGGATAAATTGGACGTGGTTGATAGTTTTGGAACTGTTCCCTTCCTTGACTACAAGCATTTTGCTCTGAGAACTTTCTTCCCTGAGGTAAAAGAGCATTGATCATATTCCTAAGGTTGAGTCTTGAATAATAATGAAGGTGCTTGTTGCTGTTGTCAAAGAGTTTGGTATGTTTCCCGAGGCAGCTGTAGATAAGGGGCCTCAAACAAAATAATGGCTTAAGTTTGAGCAGAGCATGGAGGAGGAGAATAATTAATTGCGTTGATTAGGATATAAAGCAATGATGGGTCACTGGCAATTACTCTTTGTCCAGTAACAAAAACCTAGGAGGGACAGAAGTTCAGAGTGATGGTTTTTGCTTTATTTTACTACCGGTTTAGAACTGAATTTGTAGTTGGAAAAGCAAGCGAGTTTATTTAAAAATCAATACTTTGTGGGCTGGCCAATTTCTTGTGTTTATCTGCATGACTTACATTGCGGGTGCTAGATTATGCCCTGTTACTTCTCAATTGGAAATGAAAAGTACTCCCAGAGAGTAAAGTAGATTTGGCTAGAAGTTGAGCTGATAATAAGCATTTATAGCAACGGAGAGTGTTTATGGTTCTCTTCAGCAGTTATTCTCTAACTGAGCATCCTTATTGAGTCGGAATAACTGCACACAATGACTGAGTAATCGGTTCTAGATCTCTGAGGAGTATCTACTCAACCCTTTGGGTTTTCAATCTCACCTACGTTCTAACACCTCCATTTTCTCACCCACTCACTCATCCTTCTTCATTTACCCTCCCAAGTCTTTGGTGAGGTACACTCATCTTCCACATCATCACCTCCACATTCCAATCCCCCAGCTCTGCCATATTGCCCTATTTGTCCAGAACTGGTGACCATGGAAGGCCCAACCTCTGGAGCATATCAACACCAATGTTGCTGTTGAAATCATGTTGATATCTAGTCTCCTAGGCAAAACCGCAAATCATTCCAGGTCAAAGGAGAGCTTGTATCACCTTACTAGAAGCTTCTCAGCTACATTTGGCCAGAAGCCTAGAGTTCAGAAACCCAGACACGAGCAGTAAGCAATTTCCAGCTTCTCCATAATTCTAGAAGTAGACACCATGATTTGTGAGGCTGTGTCTAGAGGTTGGGATACCTCCATAAAACACCCACTATATATTTTTTTGAAGGTCCAAGCCTTTGTGTTATAGCTCAAGGAGGCTATAAATAAGACTTCAGCCTTTTACACTTGTGAAGGTTTTTGTTGTTTCTCTGAACGTGTCCTCTAAGAGGACTAGACACCAAGATTTGCCATTTGCCTCCTCATCCATTTCTGTGGCAGAACACCACCTGGGGAGGGGAGATGAGTTCCCTGAACCAGGATGACTGTGCAAAGGTTGCATCACGAGCCCTATTTCCCAGCTATCTGAGATCCCCATTAAGAATTTAATAGCAATAAAATAATAGCGATTTCTACCATCAACATGAGTACTGTGTGGGCTTTTACAGTTAATGATTACCCTTGAGTACTGAATAGAGTAATCTGTGGCCTGAAAAAGAAAATTTCCTATCTTCTAAATTCAGTCATCAGGAGCAAGATAAAGTGATGAATGTAAAGAACACTGTTGCAAATTGAATGTTAAAAAAAGAAAGAAAGAAAGAAAATCACAGGAACAATGTTGTATTATTTTAGGAGACGAGAGAGTGTTGCAAGAAGCCAAACTGATTCAACTCAGGGTTATGGCTAATCTTGAAAGGCACCTGGGAAAAGCATTAAACTTGAAGTCAGAAGGGATCATTTTAGAGGAGAGGACCCAGAAAAAGAAACATAAATTTGTCAGAACTCTATCAAGAAGACCTAAGTCAAAATTGAAGTTATAATAATTAAAAGATATAAAGACCAGGAGATCATATTATATTATGGATAACCAGTTGAAATGCACACCTGGTTTCAGATAAGTCCTTATATTAATTAGGCCCTTTACTGATTGATTGGAGTCCCTGACTGGGGAGACAGTTAATGAGCTTGGCAGTTCATCAAAAGTTTGAAGGTTCACATCCACCCAGAGGTGTTTTAGATGAAAAGTCTTAGCAGTTGACTTGCGAAAAATCAACCAATGAGAATCCTATAGTGTGCAATTCTACTCTGACACACATGGGGTCGCGAAGAGTCAGAAGTGTCTCCATGGCAACAGGTTATTTGCTGATTGGTTGGGAGTCAAATCATGTAGGCCTAGAGCTTGGGTGATGGGAAGGACGTGGGTGACCAACACTCACTGGATAACAGGCAAAACCCAGAGGAAACTGGGTTTGCAAAGGATGTCAAAGAGATCACAGGTCCCTTGATGCTGGTTTTGGCTTCTAGAGACTTGCTTTTCTTTCTTCACTTATCTTTGTTTTGTTGAAAATAAGAAATAGGGTAAGCAGAGCAGCTAACTTCATGGAAGAAGGAAACATGAATAAAAAGGAAAAGCAGAACACAAGAGTCAGAGTGGATTTCTTTACTTAAGGTCAAGAATCATTCCATTTTAAACCACTGATATACAGTTGGTTCAGCAAAACAAGTATTAGGACTAGAAAAGGCAAACCCAGGGCTTATACTTCTTCTGCTTCCTGTTCAGGGAAAATAGAGCTGAGATAGTTTGAGGTCTTCTGCTCATGCTAACAAATTTGAAACTGTGAAGCAAAAAATTATCTTTAGGAGAAACTTATTTAATAAGATATAAAAGTAGCCTAAAGTTTCGATGATTACCCAAAACAGAAAAATCGGAATGTTTGAGTCTATTTTAACTCTCTTGGGTCATTTAAAGTGTTATTCCACACACTTTAAAATTTTAATTATTAGTGTAATGGAATCACCTTGAGCTGCTAATTGCAAGGTCAACAGTTCAAATCTACCAGCTGCTCTGCTGAAGAAAGATGAAGCATTCTGTTCCCATAAAGAGTTACTGTTTTGGAAACCCTATACAGGGCCAGTATGAGTCAGAATCGGCTTGTAGGCACATTGCCACTACCACAACACTACCACCACCACCACCAAACAAAGAAAACGCAAACGTGAACATTTATATTCAAAAGCATAAAAATAATTTTAGAAACCAGTGGAATCATAGCGTTGTGGTCTAGTTTGCCATAATTAGAGACAAACAGTAAGAGCTATCAGAGAACACTTACGAAGTACTCAACCATTCTGTTTTCACACTGAGCCTTGTTGTTGTTAAGAGTTGTCACGTCAGGAAAATAAGAGAAGAAATAGGGTAGTGACCCTGTGGAGGGTTTCTGAGGCAGTAGAACCCTGTGGGAACAGAAAGCCTCATCTTTCTCATACGCTGCTTGTTGGCTTGAACTGCTGACCTTGTAGTTCCCAGTCCAATGCTTAAGCTACAGAATCACTGTTCGCCCAACATAGTCTATGAGGCAGGAATTAGTATTTCCCCCATTTCACAGAGGAAAGTCAGGGAGGTTAAATAACTTGTTCAAAGTCATGTGACCAGTAGGTGCTAGAACCAGGGCTGGACCCCAAGTAGTTTGGCTCCAAATTCTACACTTTTTACTGTCCCCCACAACCATCTCTATGCTAGCGTCATGGATTAAGACAGTATATGCTTCTAAAGTAAGACTCGTGAAAATTTACCAACCCATGTGGCGCTGCTGGTTCATGCGCTGGACTGCAAGGTCAGTTTGAACCACAAGGTCAGTGGCTCAAGTTCACCAGGTCACTAGGAGTTGGCACTAACCCCATGGCATTTAACAAGAACAACAATTCAGTATTTATCCTTAGACTGTAAATTTTTTGAGAAGTGGCCAACATATTTGCATAATCTTCCTTAATGACCATTTCTTTAAGTTAGTGTGAATTCTTTTCAAGTGTGAGATTCCTTCATCCGCCAAACCTGGGATGGATGCAATGCTAATTACTCTTGGAGGCTTTCAAAACTCATTGGTGTTTCTTGAGAGCTGAATAATTATTTATTATATATTAGAGGTTATGCAGCAAGCATAAACCCAGGGGCTCTTCAGATTAGCAAATAGTGTCTCTACTTTATTAAAACGGACTTGGGTATTATAACAAAAATACACTCTTCATTTCCTTTGGATGTTATGAATAATAAAAATGTCTCCTTCCTCTCAGTCAGGTGGCTTCACTCACATCTTCACTGAAGATATGCATGTAAGTCTATACGTTTTCATTCTTAGCTCAGTGACTGCCTGACTTTCATAGTGTTATCATCAGCATTGTCATCTCCATTATTATTACTTTGAATTTTTATTGTGCATTTTTGTTGGATCATGATTTCAATATTAAATTAAATAATTCATTGTTTTGGAAAACCCATTGTGGATCTACTTTATAGCTTCAAATTTTTCTATGATGCTACATTATATTATGTTATGTTATTTTATCATACAAACCTTTGCTTTCCAGAACAGAGACGCCAATGACAAGAATGAGAGTCTCACAGCTTTGGATGCCCTCATTTGTAATAAAAGTTTCCTTGTTACCGTCATTCACACCCTTGAAAAGCAAAAGAATTTTTCAGTGAAGGACAGGTATTAGTTCATTCCTTTGTGTTTTCACAGCCTTTAAGTAAAGAAAAGAAAAGCTGAGCCACTGATTTGACTTCTAAGCCACTGGTCTAACTTTGTCTCCTAGGTGGTTCTGTGGCAATCTTATTTCCCTTTCAGATCACACCACCAAGACACAAATTCTACTTTGAAAACATGCACATATACAAATGGACACCCCCCGCCCCTGCCGAAAATCCCTAACACCGAGAAAAAAACATAAATCCCTAATCAAAATGCAGAAGTGTAATTTTCTGTTTTTAAAAAGTCCCTTGAAATTAGGGAAAGACATTAACTTCTTGCTACCACTCTTACTTGAGGGCTAAAAACACAGAATATCCTGACGTGGTTCTGGTGTGGTGCGGTGGGTTAATGCACTGGACTGCTACGTCGGTTTGAACCGCAAGATTGGTGAACAGCAGTAGTCAGAACCTAGACGTAACAAACTAACAAATAGCACAGGACTGAGTTGGTGGCAGGAATCAATAGGTGGGGCACAGGTCATTTATAGAGCAGTGGAACACTTCTGTATGATGATGAAATTATGGGAACATGACATTATGCACTTGTCAAACCACAAAGAATTGTACAAACACCAAGAATTAACCCTAATGTAAACTATGACTTTGGTTCATAATACCGTATCAATAACTGGCTCACTAATTGGAGTAAATGTACCACTTGAATGCAAGATGGATGCAGAAGGGAGAGGGAAGGTATGAGGCCTCTCTGTACTTTCTACACAAAATTTCTGTAAACCTAAAACTGCTCTAGAAAAACAATAAAGTCTATTCAAAACAAAAGTGCTCAGCAGGACAAGCGCCCCCTGGCCCAGCAAAAGGTCCATAAAAACTACTATCAGCAGCAAGTCAAGACTACCACTGATGGCTAACTGAGGTTCTACTTTGACCCAGGTGCCTGTTTGCCTCCTTCTTAACCATTGCACTGCAATCTAAGCTGGTCTACCTGACCAGCATCCTGGAGGTGCTGACCAGGGACTTGATGGAACAGTCAAGTAACATGCAGCTGAAACTCATGCTAAGATGCACGGAGTCTGTGGTGGAAAAACTCCTCACCAACTGGATGTCTGTCTGCCTCTCTGGTTTCCTTCGGGTAAGTGTCACATGCCTCTGCAGAACAGTGTCAGAGGTAAGACAATAGGTGGTTATTTTTAGCAGATGCTGATGTCTTTGCCTGGCTAAGGCCTGAGTGCTCCATGGTATCAGCATTTAAGTTCTATTAGTCTTGGTCCTTGTGGGGAACTGAAGGAACTAAAAAAATGTTTTTTTCCTATAACTGGCCTGTTGTTTGCTGTCGAGTCTTATGGGACCCCCATGTGTGTCAGAGTAGAACTGCACTCCGCAAAGTTTTCAAGGCTGTGACCTTTCTTCTGAGGTGACTCTAGGTGGGTTTGAACCACCAACCCAGCCTTGAAATTAGGGAAAGATACAAACTTCTTGTTCCTGTTCTAGCTTAAATGCTGAAAACTTGCAAACAAATGTCCTGAAGTTAACATTGATGCACAGTTTTTGTGGTTTAAAGGCATAGTGGTCTAAAACCTAGACATAAAAATGGGGGAGGTTAGAATCCAGCATGGGAGAAGGAAAAGGCAGTCTTTTCCTTTTTTCCATCAAGATTACGAAAACCAAACCCACTGCCACTGAGTGGGTTCCAACTTGTCGTGACCCTATAGGACTGCTCCACAGGGTTTCCAAGACTATAAATCTTTTTGGGAGCAAACAGCCTCATCTTTCTCCCATGGAACAGCTGTTGGCTTTGAAGCACCAACCTTAGGTTAGCAGCCCATTACACCACCAGGTAGAAACACCAGGGCTGCTTCTATAAAAATTATTGTTATTAAGTGCTGTCTTGTTGGTTTCCCACTGATAGAAACCCCATATAGGGTTTCCAGGGAGTGGCTGGTGAGTTTGAACCTCCAACTGACCTTGGGGTCTAATGCTTATCCTGCAACGCTGCACCAGGACCCCCTGTAAAAATTACATCCTTGGAAATCCTATGGGGGCAATTCTTCTCTGTTCTAAAAGGTTGCTGTAAGTCAGAATTGGCTCGAGGGCAGTGGGTTAAGTCCAGCACTTAGTCATTTGTGCCACTCAGGGACTTCTGGAATGGACCTATGTAAAGGCAACTCCCTTCCCTCTCTCTCATTATCAACATTAACTAATACTCATAGCCCAGTGGTAGCAGCTATGCATAGCTCAAGTGTAGCAATGATTGTGAGGATGGTCCAGGACCTGCACCCACTCAATGGCAACTAACAACATAGCCCAGTGGGAGTCCTGGTGTGGCACTGTAGGATAAGCAGTGGACCGCTAACAACAAGATCAGTGGTTCAAACCCACCAGCCATTCCTCAGAAACCCTATATAAGGTCACTGTGAGTTGGAACAACTCCACAGCACTTAAAAACAACAATAACAATAACCCAGTGGGCCCATTTATGAAAATGTCGTGAAAAGAGGGAGTATTTCAAATCCTGAAGAGAGCAAACTGTTTTCAAGTCCTCAGAAGCAATTGAGAAAGACCCATTTACCTACCAATAGGCCGTAAGCTAATTACAATCAATTGGAAGTAGTCATTCCACATTAAAGCAGGGCCCCAAAGGAACCCACCTGCCCCTTGAGTTCACTTTGTTAGAGTTGCAGAATGCACTAGTAATAATGTAACTGAATCTTACAATCTTTTTGAATGCAGACTTTCTGTAGACTACAGTGGTTAAGAGCTATGGGTCTTGGAGCACTCTGCTTGTGTCCAACCTAGATTTTACCTCTTTTTCCTGGAGGCTTTGAGCAGATTTCTTGACCTGTCTGAGCCCTGGATTTATAACCTATAGAATTAGGAGATGTAGGACTGTCTTGGAGTACAGATAAGAAAATGTATGCAGTTGCCAGTGCTGAGAAAGGCCTCCATCAATGTTGGCCATTCTTATTATAAAATATTGATATGAAAATAGGGTGAACCCAGTCTTTGTTCAGCCCTCTGAGGCCCCTGGGACAGAAGGTTCTTATCCTTCTTTAATTTTACCAGCCATCCAGATTGCAGAGGGAACAGCATACTGTAATTGTGTATTTGTAGCTAGTTCTGAAATCTAATTAAACTTTGAATAAGATACATTGCCATGCCACAGGTTTTAACAGTGCTACTTAAGTTCAGATTCAAAACCAGCACTTGAAATAGACTATGCTTAGTTTAATGGTTAATGCAATCTTACAAGTAGATGCACAACGTTTTTTTAAAACCAACTCTTCCTCTCCCAAGGCAATACCCATTTATTAAGATTAATGAAATCTGCCTTTTTCCCTGTTTATTCGGTATAAATCATCATGCGCTTTAGGGAGGTGTTGGGTGGTTATTTCTGAGTTTTATCCTTGCTTCAGCCATAACTGCTTCTAAGCAGAGGCAGTGGGACCTTCACCCAGTTCCTTGGCATCTTGGTCTTAAAAGGCTGACTCCTGCCTCCCCACAGCCCATAGAGCTAGAAGCTCTGCAGGTGGTCCCCAGTGATTCACAGTTTTAGTAAGCTCATCCAGGTAGTTATTGTTGTTAAATGCTGTCAAGTCGGCTCCGACTCATAGTGACCCTCTATAGGATTTCTGAGGAGCGACTGGTGAGTATGAAATGCTGACCTTGTGGTCCGGTGCTTATCCAAAAGTGCCACACCAAGAATGAACCCTAATGTAAAATACGGACTTTAGTTCATAATATGATACCAATATTGGTTCAATAATTGTAGTCAATGTACCAAGTAGTTGTTGTTGTTAGGTGTTGTCCTATTGGTTCTGACTCATGTTGTTGTTGTTGTTGTTATGTGCCGTGGAGTCGGTTCCAGCTACGCTGTACAGGGTTTCCGAGGCTGTAAATCTTTACGGGAGCAGAAAGCCTCATCTTTCTCCCGCGGAACAGCTGGTAGTTTCAAACTGCTGACCTTGTGGTTTGCAGCCCGATTCTACTATATAGGGTTTCCAAGGAGTAGCAGGTGGGTTTGAATTGCCGACTTGTGGCCAACAGTCCAGTGCTTATCCTACAGCGCCACACCAGGAATCTAGGTAGTTCTTAGGTGCCTTGCTTTATAGTTGAGAATTCTAGGGAAGTAGAAGGAGCGCTGGGCTAATCTCGGTTAGAACTGTCAGGTTGTGGTTCTAAAATCATTACTGTTTGGCCTTGACACATTTCACCTGACATCATTTGCTATCTGCTAAATGAGGGGTGTGGTCATTCGTTTTAAATTCCTTTCTGACTCTTTCTCCTGGGAGCTTGTCTTTCTTACTCTGAGCTCTTCAGGGCTCTCATTCCCCTTTCTGCTCTTTGGGGTGAGGTGTTCCGTAAATCTGGGCTCCAAGCCTGAACGGCCCCCTTGAGCAAAGCATTCTGGGTCAAGCTTGAGCTGTGCTGATTTGTAAGTATTTTGAGCGCACCAGGTGGTGAGGGGGCAATACGACTCCCAGAGGAGGAAGTGAGGGTGGGGGACCACTAAGCCAGTCAGAGACTTTTACTTTCTGTGGACTCAATCCCGCTGGTGAGGAGGGCCTGGAGAGTTTGAGGCTCTGCCATCCCTGCCCCTCTGGGCCTACCCCAGAAATGTGTGAATGGTCAGGAAGGCCCAATCCCTGGAGAAGAACATCATGTTTGGTAAATTGTGGAAGGTCAGCAAAAAAGAGGAAGACCTCCAACAAGATGTATTGGCGCAGTGGCAGCAGCAATGGGCTCAAGCATACATAGCAACAATTGTGAGTATTGTACAGGACTGGGCAGTGTTTCATTCTGTTGTACATATCGTCGTTATGAGTCAGAACCAACTGGACAACCCATAAGAAACAACAAGCTACCAAGAGTTTGTGGTAAAGTAATAATAGCAACAACAAAACTGTCCCTAAAATGAAAGCAGTTGCTGTTGAATCTATTCTGACTCTAGGTGACCCCAGATGTTTCAGAGTAGAGCAGCTCTGTAAGGTTTCAAGATGAGGCTTTCTGTTCCTGTAAAGATCTACATCCTTGGAAACTCTGTATAGGTTCCTTATGAGTCAGAATCGACTCAGTGAATCGGGGGTTTGGGTTTTTTGGTTTTAATCTTACAGAAAGGTCCTTAGGTGGAGCAAATGATCTGTGGTCCACTGCTAATTTGAAGGTCAGTGATTTGAATCTACCCACTGATAACTCAGAAAAAGGGCCGGGTTATCTGGTATTTATGATTACAACCAAGAAAAACCCAACGGACCAGTTCTCCTCTGTAACGCATGGAGTCAGAATATATTGGAATCAATTCCACAGCACCAACAATGATCTTATGGAATCACCAGGCCTTTCTTTCATGCCACCGATGGATGGACTGAACCAGCAATCCTTTAACAGCTGAGTGCCCACCATTTGTGCTACCAGGGCAACGATGTCCGTTTATTGGATGTGCCAGAAGGTACGCTACGAGCTTTGCTTACCTTTTTCGCATAATCCTCATTACAACCTGGTGGGGTGATGACCTTAAGACCACTAACGTCCTTCCCCTGACCCTACAGCTAGAATGTTACAGGGCCAGGGTCCAAATGCCCTCAGCCACCCCCACTTTCCAACAGGAGTAAGTTCCCTCAGTGAGGTTTAGAGGAGGATGGAGGGTGGAAAGGATCACAGGTCCCCAATGTCGGCTTGGTCTTTTGGAAGAAGGACAGTGAAGGGTCAAGGGTCGTCCCCGTCCCAGAAGGAGAGGGCACACGCAGCACAGTAAGGTGGGCTCTGGCAGGCGTCCTCCCTGGGCAGCTGTATGCTGAGAAGACTGCTCTGCCCTGACCACATACGATGGTGTGGGGAGGGGTCTCCTGTCCCCAGCTGTGACAAACTGAGAGGCCATGTGTCATGGTGACAAGGAAACTTCATGGCCCTGTGGATCCCAAAGCTGTCCACACATCAGAATTCCTTGGGAATCTTTTAAAACTACACATGCCCAAGCTTCATACCAGAGATTCTGGTTCTGTAAGTCTAAACCCAAACCCAAATCAAATCTAGCCAGACCACTGCCATCAAGTTGATTCCAACTCACTGTGACCTATAGCTCAGAGTAGAACTGCCTCAGAAAGTTTCCAAGGCTTGTCATCTTTACTGAAACAGGCAGCCACATCGTTCTCCCCAGAGCCAGCTGATGGGTTCGAATCACTGACCTTTAAGTTCCCAGTGAAGTGCTTTAACCACAGCACCACTAGGATTTCTTAAAGAAGGGCCCAGGCATCTGACCTTTTTTTTTTTAATGGGAGCTTTAAAGGTTTCTAGAGATGATTAGCCAGGCTTGGGACCATGGTGTGGACAACAGTGTGAGAGGTGGTTGTTGGTTGTTGGATGTTGAATTGCCCATAGTGTTTTCTAGGTTGTAATCTTTACAGGCGCAAATCACTAAGTCTTTCTCCTGCAGGATCTCTGGGTGGGTTTGAATTGTCAACCTTTTGATTAGCAGTCAATCACCTTAATGTAAGAGGAGGTGCCACTCATTCCAGTCTCCGCCCACTCAGGAGAGCTCTTGACCACAAGACTGTTGAGTTGGTAGCCGCCCAGGACTGCCCATGTGGCCCCTTAGTTTCCAGCTCTGTGGGCACATTCAGCCACTCACAACAGCTCTCTCCCACCTCTACTCTGTGCTGGAGGTAAAGAGAGAAGTTGAGGTTCTAAGTGTGTGGGCAGGACATCACCTAAAGGGTAAAGGGAGAGAAAAGACAGCAGTTAGGTTGTGAACCACTAAATAAAGGAAGTTTCTCATGAAAAACAAATGTCATGTACTAGTTCCAACGTTCTCTACTCTTTGGAAAAATTTTGACCATTCCACCTCTGTCCTGCACTGAAAAACAGACTCAAGGATCTATCAGCAGAGGGGAGAGAAGTGATAACGGGAGGCCAGCAGACTGTGGGTTCTGGAGGGTGGGGCAAAGGGCAAGTGGAGGCCCAGGAGATGGGGAGAGCAAATGTTTATGTATAAAAGATGGAAGTGGGGACCGGTGGAGGGAATGAAATCCCAGTAGAGTTAAAAGTGGTCCATTACCTACCTGTCCAGACATCTGGTGTACCGCTGTAGCGCTATGAATCAGAACCGACTCAACATCACTTAGCAACAACTATCTGTCCAAGGGAATGTAAGTGAGAAATACAGTCTCTTCAAAGCCAGAATTGTTGGCTATAAAGCCCTTTATTGAGTGAGAACCAACTCAGTGGCACTTAACAACAACAACACAGCTTGGGATTCCTGGTGTGGTGCTGTAGGATAAGCACTGGACCGCAAGGTCTGCAGTTCAAGCTCACCGGCTGCTCCTTGGAAGCCCTACACAGGGTCTCTATGAATCAGAACCATGTCTACTTACTGCACTTAACAACAATAACAAGGCAGCTTGATTTCCTGACCCTGGCCCTAGTTTGTCTTCAACACATTACCTCAATGTGTGTTGATCATTGTTGTTGTTACTTGCTGGTGAGTGGATTCCAACTCATGGCAGCGCAGTGTGCAGAGAACTGCTCCATAGGGTTTTCAAGGCTGTGGCCTTTCAGAAGCAGATTGTCTGTCAGGCCTGTGTTCCAAAACACTGCTGGGTGGATTCAACCTCATTTAAGATAAGCTGTCAAGCACAAACTATTTTCTTCACCCAGGGACTCCTCTGTTGATCGCTAGAAGGTTGATTATTTAGCAAATACTGTCTAGTTCACCCAGAGCTATGTATTTCCGGAGGATGCTGCAGGAGCCCCCATTAGAGCTCCTGAGTTCATTTCAGCACATTGTCATTGCTGTTGTTGGCCTCCAGCAAGTTATCCCGCGAAGCAATGGGAAACCCCATGCACAATGGAACAAAATGCTTCCTGGCCCTAGGCCTTTCCCATGACCTGTTGCAGATTAGACCCTTCTCACTGACTGATTTCAGAAGTTGATCACCAGACCTTTTTTCCTAGCCCATGTTAGTCTGAAAACTCCACTGAAACCTGTTGAGCATCCTAGCCACTCTCAGGTATCCACTGACAGACCACAGGTGGTGGCTGTGCTTGAGAGGCACACTGACAGGAATTCTACCACTGAACCAAATGAAGACATTTAAGGAGCCACAGGAGAGAGGGTCCCAGCCCAGGAAAAAGTGGCGGCAGCTGAAGTGTGGAGAAAGGGAGTTATCAGCATGGACCCGAGTGCATGGGGAAGTTTTAGAAGAAATGGCCCTGGTTCCACTCCAGGGCCAGGAGGTGGCAAAGGTGCTGAGCTAGAACTGCAGGATGTGTCTGAGACCCGAAGGGATACTGGCCTGGCACAGCTAAGGAGCTAAGACTGCAGATTGTTTAAACAAAGGCCATTTCCTTCATTAAAACGTGTGAACACCAAAAAGCATCATCCTTGGCAAATGTATAAAATGTTCTTGCATGTATTCCTGTTACCAATACTAACTGTGTGCGTTTTAAAATGCCATCTATTTTCAGTTTGCTTATTTTAAAAAGGCATATAAACAAATCTTAAACCTCTGCCTGTACAACTGTTTGTAGACATTAGCCAACTGATAAAGATTGTTGTTGTTAAGTGCCATTGAATCAGTTCCAACTCATAGCAACCCTGTATAGGGTTTCTGAAGAACTGCTGGTGGCTTTGAACTGCTGACCTTCTGATTCGCAGTCCTGTGCTAATAAGCTTTGTTGTTGTTAGGTGCTGTGGAATCAGTTCTGATTCATAGTAACTGTCTGCACAACAGAATAAAACTCTGCCTGGTCCTGGGCCACCCTCACAATTGTTGTTATGTTTGAGCCCATTGCTACTGCCACTTGTCAGTCCAACTTCTTGGAGGCTTCCTTTTTCCCCCTGACCCTCCACTTTACCAAACAGTATGTCCATCCGCAGAGACTGGTACCTCCAAATATCATGTCTGAAGTCTCTCATGCTTCAAACAGATATATATAGTTGTTGTTAAGTGCCCTCAAGCTGGTTCCAACTCATAGTGACCTTGTATAGGGTTGCCGAGGCTTTTTTTTCTGGGAGCAGAAAGCCTCATCTTGATCCCATAAGCTACATATATTTACAGCATGAAATAATTATCAACTACTGTGTGCACTTGAAAGCACCTTGGTGATACAATGGGTTGAGTGCTGGACTGCTAATCTAAAGGTCAGCAGTTGGAACCCACCAGCCATTCTGCAGGAGAAAGAGGAGACAGTCTGTTTCCAGAAAGATTGACAGCCTTGGAAACTCTATGGGGCAGTTCTACCCAGTCCTATGGGGTCACTATGAGTTGGAGTAGGGTTTGGTTTTAGTGTGTATGTGATGGCGCTATGGACTGTAAGCCTAGTGAGTATTTGTGTGTGTGTATACAAACACATGCATGCGTGTTGGGGCGAAGAGGCAGTTTCCTGTGCATCCAAGTTTTGCTCCGAATCTTAAGTGGAACAATATGTATTTTCTCGGGAGTTCCATGTTGATTGTTAGAAAACACTGCCTCCTGTCTCCTGTCATACTGCCATAAACTGAAACTTCAATTCTTTGGAAAGTGCAGTGGATTCAGCAGAAAACTAACTGTTGCTTTTGTGTCTTTTCCAAGGAGACTGTTGGAGAGCCGTTCTATTTGCTGGTAACAACTTTGAACCAGAAAATAAACAAGGGTCCGGTCGATGTCATCACTTGCAAAGCCCTGTACACCCTTAATGAAGACTGGCTGCTGTGGCAGGTTCCAGACTTCAGTACTGTGGTATGTTTGTGATCTAGCTTCCCATTCCCATCAAGACTTAGGAATTGGGAAGGGGGTATCGGGTTGGCGGTCACTTAACATGAAATGGTATTATTCCTACTGTAGGAGAGCGCATATGTTGAGTTAATTTAAAACCGTAATTGATAAAATATTAACACATGTTCACATACTAGATTTTAATTACTTGGATGAGGGGGAAGTACTGCAATGATGCCTGGGGTAATCATCAATTTCCAAAGATTTTAATATCAGGATTGCTTAGAGCTTTCAGCATCATCAAAGGAAATGCAAAGTACCCCCTTTTCAGCATTTACCATTGCAATCACAATCTCTCAAATGGCTCTGCTTCGGAAGACTATGTGTGAAGATATATTTCAACCAAATTGAGGCTGTCTTATTTTAGAATGATAACACAAGACAAATTCAAGTGCGTTCCCCTTACTTTATTTTCATGGATTAGTTACAAATGTTTGGTATGCTGTGATCTCTCAGCAGTTTTAGAGGAATGCTGTAAATCACTACAGGAGCCTGGTTGTCTAACTGCTCGCTGGTTTCACCCATTTAGAACTTCCTTTCAACTCACCCCCACCTCACCCGCCCACTGCTCTTCCAAAAGCAAAGGAGACCAATTTATGGCACATTCTAGAATTTGAGAGAGGGAGTCACACATGGAAGGCATCTCCAAGATTACTTAGGAATTTCCTATGCTTTTCTGTTTATAAAGACTTAAGAGATGGCTGTATTCTGGTTGAAAATTGAACAGATACTTCCAGCTGCAAGATCTTGAGCTTTACAGAGTCTGGCTTCTTCACAGTCCCATTAGTGGAGGGGGGATTACAGGGGGGTTTTGGTTTTCTCATGATAGGAGCCAAGTCTCCTGTGGCTTCGCTCTGGATGGCGTGTGCTGCCGTGTCAGCTGGGAAGAATTCATCCCCTAATTGGAGAAGGCACCACTTTGCCGTGGACTATGTTATGGTTATGTTCTCTGGTGGGAGAACATTCCATAGATCAGCTGCTTTGCGCTCACAGGCACTGCCAGATGTAGCTCATCCTTCCATTGATGATGGCTCCATGCTCAGTGGCCATCTGAGAGGTGGGAAGCTGAGTCGAAAGTCAGCATTACTCAGTATTCTGAGTGCTGTCTTTGCCCCATCTGCATCTAAGAAACAGTGTATTGTGAGCAAACAAACCCCTTTACCTAGGAGTTGATTCTGACTCACAATGGCCCTGTAGGGTTACTAAGGCTGGAAACCCATGGAGTGACTAGTGGGTTTGAACCACTGACCTTTCAGTTAGCAGCCAAGTGTTTAACCACAGTGCCAACAGGCTCCTGGTGTAGTGTGTGCCGTGATTCTCAAACATCAGAACCCCCGGGAGAGCTTGTTAAATGCTGATTGCTTGCTAGATAGCATCTCCAGAGTTTCTAATTGAACAGGTCTGCAGTATGGCCCAACAAACTCAGGAAGTGTACAGGGTTATGTTTGGGCTGTGTCTTAGGCTGGGTTTTCAAGAGAAGCAAAACCAGTAAAAACACACACACACCACACACCACACACCACACACCACACACCACACACACACACAGAGAGAGAGAGAGAGAGAGAGAGAGAGAGAGAGATTTATTATCTTACAATTATAGAGTCCCAGGTCCCAGCAAAGAAAGAGGGGAGAGTCTTTCCCACATGTCCATTATATTAGGATCAGGCCCCACACTCAAGGAAGTGTCTCTTCAATCGATTGGCTGCTCATAGTTCTGTTACAGACTGCTAGTCACAAGGTCAGCAGAATTCAAATCCACCAGCTGCTCCATGGGGTCCTGTAAAAAAAGATTTACAGCCTCAGAAACCATATACAGGGAACCTAGGATTTGGAACCGACTCTATGATATTCAGCAACACTGTGGCCCAAGGACTTTTATTTCTAACAAGCTTCCTGATGATTCTGATGCTGGTCCAGGGACCACACTTTGGGTATGGTGGTGGTGGTGTGCTGTGGAGTCAGTTCCAACTCATAGCAACCCTGTATAGGGTTTCCGAGGCTATAAATCTTTACTGGAGCAGAAAGCCTCATTTTTCTCTCACAGAACGGCTGGTAGTTTCAAAGTGCTGACCTTGAGGTTAGCAGCCTGACTTGTAACCACTACGCTACCAGAACTCCCTATACTTTGGATGTTATGGTTTAGAATCCTGCCTCTGCCACTTGCTAGCTGTGTGACATTAGGCAAGTTTCTAAACCTCTCTGTGCATTGGTGTCCTCATCTGTAAATGAGCAGGATGGTGATAGCAGAGCCTGCCTGAAAGTCAAGGATTAAAAGAGGTGTTATTACTTAAGAGTCTTGGTGTGGCACTGTGGGTTAATGCACTGGACTGCAAAGTCGGTTTGAACCACAAGGTCGGTGGTTCAAGCTCACCAGCCACTCCTCGTAAACCCTATACAGGATCGCTGTGGGTCAGAACCAATTCGATGACACTTAACAACAGCAGCAATTACATGGATCACTTAGACTTTGCCTGACACATGACTACCATGTAAAGCTTTATGATATTCAAGTTCCATCTCTTTGGCCACTTGGTGAAAATGTAGACCCAGACATTGCAAGGCCTGGACCTCCTTCTGGGCTGATTAAATCAGAATATTTGATGGTGGAACCCAGGCCTGGTTAGGTGGAACCCAGGCCTACCCAGGGCATTTTAAAGTGTGTCCAGTATATGCCACTGGAGAGCTTAGACAAGAAAAGGCAAAATTTGGACTCTCCTTTCATGGTGCTTGGATTTGTGTTTAAAAACAAGGCCTTGACCCTAACCTGTCCCTGCATTTGCTTTGACATATTTTAGGAGAAATATGTGCAAGAAATATAAGTTGGGGGAATCCAGCAGTATTTCCGTTTCATGACAATCCTGGTCCGTCCCAGAGAGGAAAGGAGAGTGGGTTGGGTATGGGGAAGAGGCCAGATCCTTGTCAGGGAAGCAACTTTTGAGGTTTAAGTTCTTTTTATTCTTTACATGTGAATTCTTCCTCCCCCCCTCTCATTTAAAAACATTATTTATTTCACAGTCAATTAAGACCATGTGTTTTTGATTTGTTAACACTCAACTCACCATCAAAATGTTACTTGATGTTGAAGAAATTTATGTCGACTCTTGAGGGTTTGTTTTGTTTTGTCTTTCCCTCATAACCCCTGGGGGAATAAGCTAACGGAAAATTATGATTTGAGCAAAATCCACATAAATCTTCCTTTTCAAATAAAGATTTGCCGGTAGATAGAGTTGAGACTGGAATGGGGTGAGTCACTTGTTTCTAGGAGTCTTGCCTTTAAAATGATTTTTAATGCCTTTCATTGGCCTAGTCCCAACATCCTTTTCATGGTACATGATTGTATTAGAAACTCTGGACAAGGCATATTATCCGGCCAGTGCTTGTGTGAAAAAACATTCGCAGAAGGTCAATATAAAAAATTTAAGGTTTTTCATTTCCTTTCTAGCAAGTTCTCCTGGCTGTCACCATCATATTTCTAATTTTCTTCCTTCCTCTCTCCACCTCTCTTTCTCATTCGACTTTCCTTCCTCCCAGGCATGTTCACCCACTGGTAATAAGTCTTGATTCTCTAAATTTGCCTGAGGTAGTTTATGTAGTTGAAAACCAAAGATGTGGTGAAAAAAACTTGAGTCTGTGTGAGGGAGAGAGAAAGACTTCTTTGGGAGGGAAGGCAATTCTTTAAAGGGAAGAAAAGTCAGAGGAAAATGAAGAGCAGGTACAGAGCAGCTTGAAATTACACAGCTCATGTCAGGGCAGAGGCAAGTTTTAAAAAAAGGCTTCCAAACCCATATTGGGCTAAAGACTCAGAAACACAGAACCTCATTTAGAAACCTAAAAACTAGGTTTCACACCTCTAAGATTAGGATGTGTTCTCCCCGAGGTGTGTGGTATTTTCTAGAACACAAAGACATCCTGCCAATTTTGTATACATGAAATCATTACACTAGCAAATGGGCCCTGGAAAGTATTTCTTTGTTCTTTGCATCCTAGGAGGAAGATTCCTGTCTTCCCTCAAATTTAAGTGAAGCCCTAAGAGTCTCAGAGTCTCACTTCCCCTAGTGCAGTAAGAAAGCATTCTTTTCTATCAAAGCCTGGGTGTTGGTGTTCAATGAGGCAACAATGAGACAAAATGTCCTGACACCAGCATCTTCCCTAACATTAACATCAGGGGAGCATCTGTACACACACAGGGTCCTCGCCTTCTCAAAATATCCACAAGTTCCAATGTGATCCTTCAAAGAGCAACAAAACCTGTTCCTATGACTGCTTTTCCTCCTTTGAAGAACTTTAGGCACGTTCGATTTTGTGCATTGGAAATCACATGGTCTCACTCAGCTTGTGCTGCATCAAAAGAATGACTTCTGAACAGATTGCCTAAAACTTGTGAGGAGTCAGTAGAGGCTGGAGGATTTCAGTTCCAGGAAAATTGTACCAATGGGAGAAAGGACATTTGCTTTACTTTCAGGAGGAGATGAGAAAACCCAATAACTCGTAGCAAGCATGCTGAATTAGCAAGAGAAGTTTAACTTGTAATCAAAGTTAAGCGGGAAATGGTTTTTTGAACTCTTAAAGCCAGGAAATGAGCCTGCCAATCTGATGTAGCTGAGAGATAGTATCTTGGCACCCTGGGAAACTGGGTTCCAACAAACACATTATTGCCCTCATTCTCAGATCTATAAGCAAGTTTTAAATTATTAGAAATTCTTGAGAAAGCACAGATACATGCCTGCAGAAATGTTAATGCCTCCACTCTGATTGTGTTATGTGTTAATGTGCTGGACTGCCAAGTCAGTATAAACCACAAGGTCAGCGGTTTGAACTCATCAGCAGCTCCTCGGAAACCCTCTACAAGGTCACTCTGGGTCGGAATCACTAAACAACAACCACATACCAACCACACAAGTCTGTCTTTGTCCCCTTAGTCACCATGTGGGGGCAATCATGCTTAATAGAAAAGTTCATGT